AGAGAGAGAGAAATGTTTTACAGAGCGGGTTGTTTCAGCAAGTGAGGCATGTATTTACTAATGTCCTGTCTTGTTGTGCGTTTGCGTGAGTGCCCCTAACCTTTGTAACATCCACTGCCATTGTAAACGACAAAGACAAATTTCTCCCTGCGAGATGAATAAAGATTGTCATTGTCATTGTCATTTAGGAGGCGGGCTTCCAACTTGCTTGTCAGGGATAACTTGAGCTAAGAGGGATACAACATCCCAGCAGAAACACAGAAACACAGAGTTACTCAATAAAAATGTCTTCCCACTTGGGAATTGAACTCAGGTCTCTTATGTGCCACAGCAAAGTGCGTAACTACTACAAAACACCCACAAGTTAAAAAAAAAATAAAATTTTTAAGTAGTACAAAAAACCCTGTTGAACTTGTCTTCCTTGACCCTAAAGATTCGAACATACACTGCCTTTATTGAATACAACTCCTCAGTAAGACATGTTGTATGTCCATCTGTCAACACAAATGAGCTGAAATGTTGTTGTTGTTGTTGTTGTCGTTGTTGTTTTTGTTGCTGCCGTTATTGTTGTTATAAATCCAGTACCCCTTGAGCGTGTGCCGTTCCGCCAAATGCCACGTTAACCCTAGCTGTACGCCCTGGGGTCATTTTGTACCCCCGCGGTTGTATTCTTCACATTTTAGAGTACTTCTAGTGCGAAGATCTCTTTGAAACTTTCAGTATTTATCAAAAAATCATTTTGACAGACTGCTACGCAAAGTGTACGAATCGGATTAACAAGTAAATTTCCTCTTTGGAAAGTGGTGGCACAGAGTTCCTCACGTCGTATGAATAGGATAGTAAAACACGACGTACGGGTAGGGTTAAGTGGTGGCACAGAGTTCCCCATGTCGTATGGATACGATAGTAAAACACGACGTACGAATAGGGTTAAGTGGTGGCACAGAGTTCCCCACGTCGTATGGATATGACAGTAAAACACGACGTACGGATAGGGTTAAGTAGTGGCACAGAGTTCCCCACATCGTATGGGTACGATAGTAAAACACGACGTACGGATAGGGTTAAGGGGTGGCACAGAGTTCCCCACGTCGTATGGATACGATAGTAAAACACAACGTACGGATTGGGTTAATAGCGGTGGAAGTCTTCGACATTCGTTAAGGTTTTGTCTGTGGTAGGGATGGATGGCGGAGGTCAAGTTTATGGGTCCTTTAGACTCAGGAAGGATGAGGTTCAAAAGTCAAATGGACATTGTCCAAAGGTGAAATGGACAGGGTTCTGAGATCAAATGGACATGGTTCAAAGGTCAAATGGACGTTGTTGACAAGTCAAATTGTCAGTTCAAAAGTGAAATGGACGTTGTGGACAAGTGAAATTGACAGTTCAAAAGTTAAATGGACGTCGTGGACAAGTCAAATAGACATAGTTCAAAATTAAATGGACGTTGTTGACAAGTCAAAATGACACAGTTCAAAAATTAAATGGACGTTGTTGACAAGTCAAAATGACACAGTTCAAAAGTTAAATGGACGTTGTGGACAAGTCAAATAGACAGTTCAAAAGTTAAATGAACGTTGTTCAAAAGTCAGATAGACATAGTTCACAGGTGAAATGGAAATGGTTCAAAGGTCAAATGTTTGATACATGTCGTCGCTGTTTTTCTTGCAGTTTGAACCTGGAGCAGAAGGAACTGTGTCGTGCTAGGCTCAAGTTCTTACAGTACCTGGACAGGCTGAGGAC